CTGAGCATGTCATTGTTAAGTTTTGCTATTTGTGAAAGACCTTCTATTTCCTAGCATCCTGACATCGCTCAAGGACAACTCAAGCCTTTTGTGTGAGCTTCAAGCCATGAAAACTAACCGACTGGTTGCTGATGTTTCACAAGACTTCGATCACTTGTTGAGAACCATCCAGTATTTACTTGATATTGGGTCAGATTTTGATGTCATTCGTGAGTTTTTATGTCGGAAATCCTCTTCCACGGAACAATGCTTCAAAATCAACCCTTTTTCATTATCTTGGCAGGATCTAGACATGAAAATCCAAGGAACTTGACTGTAGTCATTGCTAATCGCGCAAATGCTTTTCGCGTGATTGCGGATAGTGTTGTCCCTGTGCTACTGGGTACAAGAATGCCGGTCTTGATATCTGTGTCTGAGGAGCCACATGTCGCAGTTTATGCAGCGTTCAAGCAAATTTTGGAAGAGGCTTCGTTCCCAGCTGGGAACCTTGAAGTGTGCTTTACGCAAAATCCGAGCGCTAGTGTTTTCAGCAGTTCATCCCTGCCTATTAATGTCGTTTTTTGTGGTCCCATGGAGACTGGTGTCGAATTGCGAAAATTGGGAGCTGCTGCGGGAGCTTGTCGGGTGATCGTTGGTGAGTATAAATCAAAGATGGCTCCATGAGATGCAGATTGTTAATTTAAATAAATAGACTGACCTTTTTGTGCTGTAAAATATCCTGAACTGATGGAGAAAGCTTTAAATTACCTCCCATTGATGCATTTTTATGGCTCAATCTGCAAAACTAAGCTTCAAAGCCAAAAATTATGTGGAATAACTAGCGAAACGGAAGATTGGGTGAACTCTTCGTATAAAGCAACGTTGTCACCATACACGTTCGTAATTTAGTGAAAGGCGTAAAGGCTATGCAAGACATTTTTTCTATGTGATTTAATTTTGAATGGCAAAATAGACTTCTGAAGCTAGAATAAGTTGCAAAATCTGAGTGCGAAGATGTAAAAAGCGCTCCAGCAACTTTTTCTAGGGCCATAAAATTGAGCCTCTGTGGAAAGTTGATCGGATCTACATTCTAACCCCGTTGAGACGCCCTCAATAAGCCGCCACAACTTGTTTATGAGGTTCGTGACGGTTTTACAGGGTTTGCAATATAAAGGGTCGGTGGCTCATCAAAAAAGCTAATATCATACAAAAATCAAGTACAGTATAAAAATTAAATTTTTATTCTTTCAGAAAACCATCAAAATAACCCAGAGAATAATATTTCCAAGAAGTAAATTATGCCATCATCGTGTTTTTCTTTGGTAAATTTGAGAAATCTTCCAGAAACTTGTTCGCGGTCCATCCAAGACAAAATTCAAGGACAGGAAATATTTGGGTTGTAAATAATTTTGGGGATGGCGTTGTATTTGGGTTTCCAATGCTATAATCATCAGGGAAGTTTTTTTTTTTTTCAAAATAAACTGGCGGTTGCCGAGGGTGGCGGCTTATTGGAGGGCGTCTCAACGGGGTTAGAATGTAGATCCGATCAACTTTCCACAGAGGCTCAATTTTATGGCCCTAGAAAAATTTGCTGGAGCGCTTCTTACATCTTCGCACTCAGATTTTGCAACTTATTCTAGCTTCAGAAGTCTATTTTGCCATTCAAAACTAAATCACATAGAAAAAATGTCTTGCATAGCCTTTACGCCTTTCACTAAATTACGAACGTGTATGGTGACAACGTTGCTTTATACGAAGAGTTCACCCAATCTTCCGTTTCGTTAGTTATTCCACATAATTTTTGGCTTTGAAGCTTAGTTTTGCAGTTTGAGCCATAAAAATGCATCAATGGGAGGTAATTTAAAGCTTTCTCCATCAGTTCGGGATATTTTATAGCACAAAAAGGTCAGTCTATTTATTTAAATTAACAATCTGCATCTCATGGAGCCATCTTTGATTTATACTCACCAACAATCACCCGACAAGCTCCCGCTGCAGCTCCCAATTTTTGCAATTCGACACCAGTCTCCATGGGACCACAAAAAAGGACATTAATAGGCAGGGATGAACTGCTGAAAACACTAGCGCTCGGATTCTGCGTAAAGCACACTTCAAGGTTCCCAGCTGGGAACGAAGCCTCTTCCAAAATTTGCTTGAACGCAGCATAAACTGCGACATGTGGTTCCTCAGACACTGATATCAAGACCGGCATTCTTGCACCCAGTAGCACAGGGACAACACTATCCGCAATCACGCGAAAAGCATTTGCGCGATTAGCAATGACTACAGTCAAGTTCCTTGGATTTTCATGTCTAGATCCTGTCAAGATAATGAAAAAGGGTTGATTTTGAAGCATTGTTGCGTGGAAGAGGATTTCCGACATAAAAACTCACGAATGACATCAAAATCTGACCCAATATCAAGTAAATACTGGATGGTTCTCAACAAGTGATCGAAGTCTTGTGAAACATCAGGAACCAGTCGGTTAGTTTTCATGGCTTGAAGCTCACACAAAAGGCTTGAGTTGTCCTTGAGCGATGTCAGGATGCTAGGAAATAGAAGGTCTTTCACAAATAGCAAAACTTAACAATGACATGCTCAG